ATGATACATCCCAGGTTGTCAATACTTATGTCATGTATGATACATCCCAGGTTGTCAATACTTATGTCATGCATGATACATCCCAGGTTGTCAATACTTATGTCATGTATGATACATCCCAGGTTGTCAATACTTATGTCATGTATGATACATCCCAGGTTGTCAATACTTATGTCATGCATGATACATCCCAGGTTGTCAATACTTATGTCATGTATGATACATCCCAGGTTGTCAATAATTATGTCATGTGTGATACATCCCAGGTTGTCAATACTTATGTCATGTATGATACATCCTAGGTTGTCAATACTTATTTCATGCATGATACATCCCAGTTTGTCAATACTTATCTCAAGTATGATACATCCCAGGTTGTCAATACCTATGTCATGTATGATACATCCTACATTGTTCAAGTATATATTCTTTATTAGGTATACCTGTGAGTCAAAGTTGTTCGGTCCCCCCTTAGCGCCGTGTTCTAAGACTTTCGTCCCGGCCTCGTTTGGAGTTTTTTCATTGCTTGTGAACCCAGCGGCCTCGGGCTGCCCTTGCGGGTTGACCTTTGACCCTGTCGCCGCCAAACTGTTCTGCTGGCACTGCACGATCGGGGTCGGTGTGGTGCACCGGGCCAGGTTCGACAGTTTGTCCGCCCGCTGCGGCAGTGGCGAAAACCGCGCTTCCTGCTCCGTGTGATCAAACAGAAACGGCGAGTCGTGCTGGGGATACGTGTAGTTGAAACGGACGTGGCGCTGCAAAGATTCGTTGGTGAGCCGATCGTTCTTCTCGTGCGCCGGGCCGTCAAACTTTCCGTCCACGACTTCGACGGGATTTCGTTTGTCGACAGGCTCAAAGATCGGTGCGTCTTTGACCAGTCCGCCGCAGTCGTAGATCTGGTCGTCCGTCTTGGACATCCCTTCGTGATCCTTGAACTGCAGATGGTAGTTGGACCTCTGGAGAAGTCGGTGCTGTAGCATCTGCTGCTTGGCGTGTTTGCGGATCTGGTTCTTCTCCTCCTCCATCTGTTCGTAGTATCTCTTGTCCGCGAATAGGTCCGGATTCCCCGCGTTGCCAAAGGATGAGTATCCCTGGTAGTCGTGGATCTCGATAGTAACGGGGTCGGGTGCGTGAAGTTTTCCTGACTGGCCCTTGGTGCCGTGTGGCAGCTCAAATGCTTGGTGACTGTTAGGGAAACTCTGGAGCTGCGCTGGGGGTTTCGTCTGCTGCTCAGTGGCCGATTGGTGTGGATCGCCTAGAAGCTGACAGTACTCACACTGATGAAATCTCGGCATCGTCTGTTTGCGCGCCATGTCTTCTAAAGCCTGCCTCAGATCCAGGAGCTGCTGATGCAAGCTGTGAAAGGACTGGCCGTTGCATTTCATCCCGGACGCAAGGAGCTGGTTCACCTGGTCGTTGGCGATGCTGTGGAACATCTGCGACGCCAGATTGAAGATCTGCGTGTGAATGACGTTGTAACAATCTTCCAGTTGTGTCGTGGTACCTGGCGGGGAATCAGGCTTGAAGCCATGGGAAGGTGAGTGCTGCTCCCTATCTCGGGCTGCCGTTGGAGACGGAACCTGAGGAGGCCGTGCGTCCGACCACTTGACGGACGGCGTTGAAAGAGAGCGCGACCTTCTGTGGTTTCTGGCATCTTTGTTTGGATCTTCTTCCGGTTCCGGTGACGCAGGCCTTGATAACGATCTCGGAGTCTGACCCCGAAACCGGGGGAAAAGTTGGGCATTAATCATTTCTAAAACTCTGCTGACCATCTCTTCCTTGTCGCGCAAACCACCATCGCGGTCCAGGTGTGTGTCCTCGCCAAATAACGAGTCTGGGCTGGACTTCATTTGAAGCCCTTCCGTTCTCGACATCGCATCTGGAACCGAATGTCTGGATAACTTCTGCTGTATTTTGCTATGGTACTGGCTGAGCAGATTTGGTGGTTCTTCTGAGTTTGTGTGATGACACGAACAGTGGGCATGCTTAGCGTCAGGGTATTTCCCTGACAAGTTGGCCAGAACTTTCCTACATCCGTCCGAGTGATCCGTGCGTTTATTGTAGTAAGGCCTTCCGCCATCCCACGGTGTTTTATGAGACACACTCCTTGAGTTGTGAATATTTGATGCGCTCGACGCATCACTGGGGTCATCTTTTTGTAGCTTCCTGGCGAGACTTTTCTGCGTACCGTTCAGCCCCGAGTAGGCTTCAGAATTTCTAGCGATGTACTTGCTGTCATACTTCGAACCGAATTCCAGTTCAGGTTTAATCACGTGCTCTTCATCCCGATGGAAGCTGTGCCTCTTGTGACCCGCGTCGGCCAAAATGTCATTGTTGGAAGGATGCTTGGCCAGACCTTTGATCGCCTTCTCTAGTTTATCCAGCTTCGACATGATGTCTGTCTGTAAGCTTGGAGATTCTTGGAAGACAATGCCCTGGCTGGATGGATCGTCCTCTTTTTTTTTCGTTTCATCCTGATTGCTCTTTTCAACTCCGGCCTTGACCGCTTGTGACTGATCCACGTGTGCCATGTGATCCGTGAGGGTCACTATTTTCTTCTCATTGTTTCCCTCATCTTTGTCAACACCGTACAAGAACCGCTGGAACTCTTCAAAAGTAAAGACATACACTTTTTAACAATTAATCTTAAACGAGAACAAACTTCAATACAACGATTAAATCTTTAAAATGTGTTTATTTAGCCCTATGCTCTGTTATTTTATAACTGTGTGATTTCATTCGAGTGAGGTAGGGGATCAAAAACGTATTCATTTCATTAGTATTGCGAGAATGGCTATGTTAAATTAGATTATTATTTCGCTGACCAATAATTTAAAAGCCACATTTCATTATTATTGCGAGAATGGCTATGTTAAATTAGATTATTATTTCGCTGACCAATAATTTAAAAGCCACATTTCATTATTATTGCGAGAATGGCTATGTTAAATTAGATGATTATTTCGCTGACCAATAATTTAAAAGCCACATTTCATTATTATTGCGAGAATGGCTATGTTAAATTAGATGATTATTTCGCTGACCAATAATTTAAAAGCCACATTTCATTATTATTGCGAGAATGGCTATGTTAAATTAGATGATTATTTCGCTGACCAATAATTTAAAAGCCACATTTCATTATTATTGCGAGAATGGCTATGTTAAATTAGATGATTATTTCGCTGACCAATAATTTAAAAGCCACATTTCATTATTATTGCGAGAATGGCTATGTTAAATTAGATTATTATTTCGCTGACCAATAATTTAAAAGCCACATTTCATTATTATTGCGAGAATGGCTATGTTAAATTAGATTATTATTTCGCTGACCAATAATTTAAAAGCCACATTTCATTATTATTGCGAGAATGGCTATGTTAAATTAGATTATTATTTCGCTGACCAATAATTTAAAAGCCACATTTCATTATCTATCAATCAGAGATTTCATCAGGTCATTTGATTTGCTAAATTTACTTTTGGCCTATGGGAGATGATGTTTCTAATCTTAACCCCAGGGGCGTCATTTCAGGTTTTTTCAGGGGTGTGGGGGGGGACCACAAAGTTTGGTCGGATTGTTAAGTTGTTTATTATTGGAGGCGTCACGGTACATAGCAATTAAAATAAAACCTTCAAATTCAGGGGCGGGGGGTGGGCGAATGCCCCACCCTGCCCTACCCAAGTGACGTCCCTGCTTAACCCTCCCCTCATTCCAAAAGTGTCCATTCCATTGTCCTGTCATCAGGCCATACGCTTCTAGTAATAGCAGTGAAACAACCATAATCAGAACATGTAGGCTCCTACCAGTGAGCATTCCCAAGACCAGTTTGCCTGTACACACCTATAAAATTATCCAAGTCTCCGCTGACATCTGGTCTTGTGAGATTACTGAACCGTGTTGGCAAAGGTCGATACTGTCTGACCTGTTGGGACCGAAGAAATAAGCTCACATTCAGCATTGACAGTCATTAGAACACATGTTAATTCAATAAAGAGGGTGTTTCATGAACATAATGAAGAGGATGTTTCATGAACATGATGAAGAGGATGCCTCATGAACATAATGAAGAGAATGTTTCATGAACATAATGAATAGAATGTTTCATGAACATAATGAAGAGGATGTTTCATAAACATGATGAAGAGGATGTTTCATGAACATGATGAAGAGGATTTTTTCTTGAACATAAGAAATGGACGTCTCATGAGCATATTGAAGAGGATGTTTCATGAACATGATGAAGATGATGTTTCATGAACATGATGAAGAGGATGTTTCATGAACATGGTGAAGAGGATGTTTCATGAGCATATTGAAGAGGATGTTTCATGAACATGATGAAGAGGATGTTTCATGAGCATATTGAAGAGGATGTTTCATGAACATAATGAAGATGATGTTTCATGAGCATAATGAAGAGGATGTTTCATGAACATGATGAAGATGATGTTTCATGAGCATAATGAAGAGGATGTTTCATGAACATAATGAAGATGATGTTTCATGAGCATATTGAAGAGGATGTTTCATGAACATAATAAAGATGATGTTTCATGAACATAATGAAGATGATGTTTCATGAGCATATTGAAGAGGATGTTTCATGACCATAATGGACATGATGTTTCATGAACATAATGAAGAGGATGTTTCATGGATATAATAAAGAAGATTGGTGCCGATTTATACATTCCATCTTCGGCGCCGCCTCTGATAAAGAAATGTAAGACACTTAAGATACTAAATAGAATACTTTTTTTAATTATAATGTGTGAATCCCACCTTACTTCCATCTGATATTACCCAGTGCAGTATGCCCACAAGTTTGCCTGATATTACCCAGTGCAGTATGCCCACAAGTTTGCCTGATATTACCCAGTGCAGTATGTCTACAAGTTTGCCTGATATTACCCAGTGCAGTATGCCTGCAAGTTTGCCTGATATTACCCAGTGCAGTATGCCTACAAGTTTGCCTGATATTACCCAGTGCAGTATGCCTACAAGTTTTCCTGATATTACCCAGTGCAGTATGCCTACAAGTTTGCCTGATATTACCCAGTGCAGTATGCCTACAAGTTTGCCTGATATTACCCAGTGCAGTATGCCTGCAAGTTTGCCTGATATTACCCAGTGCAGTATACCTACAAGTTTGCCTGATATTACCCAGTGCAGTATGCCTACAAGTTTACCTGATATTACCCAGTGCAGTATGGCTACAAGTTTGCCTGATATTACCCAGTGCAGTATGCCTACAAGTTTACCTGATATTACCCAGTGCAGTATGCCTACAAGTTTACCTGATATTACCCAGTGCAGTATGGCTACAAGTTTGCCTGATATTACCCAGTGCAGTATGCCTGCAAGTTTGCCTGATATTACCCAGTGCAGTATGCCTACAAGTTTTCCTGATATTACCCAGTGCAGTATGCCTACAAGTTTGCCTGATATTACCCAGTGCAGTATGCCTACAAGTTTGCCTGATATTACCCAGTGCAGTATGCCTGCAAGTTTGCCTGATATTACCCAGTGCAGTATACCTACAAGTTTGCCTGATATTACCCAGTGCAGTATGCCTACAAGTTTACCTGATATTACCCAGTGCAGTATGGCTACAAGTTTGCCTGATATTACCCAGTGCAGTATGCCTACAAGTTTACCTGATATTACCCAGTGCAGTATGCCTACAAGTTTACCTGATATTACCCAGTGCAGTATGGCTACAAGTTTGCCTGATATTACCTAGTTCAGTATGCCTACAAGCTTACCATGTGCAACATGCTTGTGTGGAAGATGTTTGTGCGTACCGAATTGTTTGACCACTAATCGTACATTAAGTTTTTACAAGTGGGGCATTGTGATCTAACGGAAGCCGATATCTACAGATGTCCATTGCAATACGAAGTATGAACTATTGAGCCTTCACATGGTGGTAAATACCAGGGGTTCTCATCCCGAGTTCCACGGGATCTGTGAAAAGATAGCAGGTCCCCTAGAAGCTGAATTTCTTTTGTAACATTAATATATTCCTTTAAAACTTAATTATAAGAAGAGCTCATTTGCCTTTAAATGACTAGCAAATGGGTCTTTTTGACCAAGCAGGTTAAGAATCCCTGGTAAATACACACTTTTGTTAGCATTTCATAAAACGTGTGCAATTTTTTAATGAAAAGGGGAAAACCCATGCTATAAACTAGACATGAAAATGACATAACGATAATGCGACTATCCCATCATGACATACCGACAATGCAACTACTGAGTGTCACAGTGTACTCACTGCAATCGGATTTTGGGCATGCTCCCCAACTTTGCTTTCCCCCTCCTTGACCTGACTGTTAAGCTTCTCCTTCCGCGCCACGTAGTCATGGAAACGGTGCTCTAACTTTTTCAGCCGTCTGTGGGTCTCTTTCTCGATGACGGACGTTCGAATCTCGAGCGGTGTACTGCTGCCTGGGGCGTCAGTACATTGGACATGAGACAACAGGTCAAAGGTCAAACACGGATGATTGAACACCATCATTATTGATTCCGGGGAAAAGAGGAAAAAGGCGGGGAGGGAGTAGAATTTGCTAGAACCTTATCTAGACTTAAGAACATAAGCTATTAAACGTGTACTCTCCAGGCCCCTATAGGACTGTCTCAAGTGCGGTCCGTACCTCCACACCCAGTAGAGACGCTACTAATTTTGCTCAAAACGTCAAGAAGTGAAACTGTTTTCAAAATTGCTCACAAAGATTACAATACAAAAAAACTGCTTCCTTGTGCAACACATGAAGTTTGTGACCAATAATTAATCATTTTTTAATGAACATTAAAACAAAGCAGAGAAATCAAATTATTTAACCCCACAGACAGTATCCAAATGACCCTGATGCGGAAAGTCCCAAATGCTGATGTCATTGACTGAAAAGGAAACGTGCCATCGAGAGCGTCAAAGCGTCAGGCAGAGTCGTTCTGGTAACTTTCTTAGCGCAGGGACCTCATTGAAAGTAGCATACTTGTTGCTAGGATGCGGAGTCTACCCGCTACCCGCCAGCTACGGGTCTGGTCAAATGTGTTGTTTTTTATTAACTTAATGTGTATAGGCTATACCAAACTAGGGTGTTTGGTGGCATCATCCTTATGTTTGGTGGCATCATCCTTATGTTTGACGGCATCAGCGTTAACGTGCCATTGGTTGGAACAGGTACCAAATAGACACCAAAGAGGGGAAACATCCCACTTACCAGACATAGGAAACATCCCACTCGCCAGACACAGGTAATATCAAACTCACCCGACTCGGGCGTGGTACCAGACACCAATGAGCACGAGGCTTTAGTAGAAATTTCACTCACAGATTCCGCCTTGTCTTCTTGATCTGAGAACGTAACGTGAATTTACAACCTAAAGCTTTCATAAGATATGGCTTATAGCTTTCATAAGATATGGCTTATAGCTTTCATAAGATATGGCTTATAGCTTTCATAAGATATGGCTTATAGCTTTCATAAGATATGGCTTATAGCTTTCATAAGATATGGCTTATAGCCTTCATAAGATATGGCTTATAGCTTCCATAAGATATAGCTTATAGCTTTCATAACATATGGCTTATAGCTTTCATAAGATATGGCTTATAGCTTTCATAAGATATGACTTATAGCTTTCATAAGATATGGCTTATAGCTTTCATAAGATATGGCTTATACATTTCATAACATATGGCTTATAGCTTTCATAAGATATGGTTTATAGCTTTCATAAGATATGGCTTATAGCTTTCATAAGATATGGCTTATAGCCTTCATAAGATATGACTTATAGCTTTCATAAGAGTCAGTCAGGTATTGGCATGTCTCAAGTTGTATACGAAAAGCCCTGTATGGACATTTTCGTTGTGTTTTGATAGAATTATTAGGATGCATGTTATTAAACAAAACAAAAAGAAGATAATTATTTACCAAAATCACTGAACAAGATCTAACGGGTGTTGGCTAGTAAGCCTGACCTACCAAACAGCTCTGTGGCCATTAGAATCAGCTTGACACATGCGGAGTAGGCCGTCTCCAGCTTGTCCATCGCCTTGGCAAACTGTCGCGGAGTGATCTCAGTGGCCGTCTCGATCTTGGCGTACACGTTTTCAGCCTATAAAGGGGGTGGGGGTGAATCAGAGAGGGCGATTGGTGGATGAGGATTTATGAATCAGAGACGGTGATTATTAGATGATGATGTATGACTCAGAGACGGTGGTAGGGTGATGAGGGTAAATGAATCAGAGACGGCTATTGGTGGATGAGGGTGTATAAATCAGAGACTGCTATTGGTGGATGGGGGTTATGAATCAGACACGGCGATTGGTGGATAACGGTGTATAAATCAGAGACTGCGATTGGTGGATGCTGGTGTATGAATCAGCGACGGTGGTTGGCGGATGAGGGTGCATGAGTCAGAGACGGTGATTGGTGGAATGTTGAAGGATTAACCAATTGATATGAAGGGCGTGATAACCCAAGGAGCATGCAACGAGAAGGTTTAACAATTTCTCTGTTAGATTGTTTAACGTCATCACTACCAAACACGTTTACCAACATGTAGAAATAAGTGAAACGACGACGAATAGCCATGGGAGGAAACCCATGTGTGCTTTACAAATTACAAGTGAAGAATTATGTGGGGTAAAAAAGAAAAGCTGTAGTAATAAACAAATTCAATATTGGCATGGGGTAAGCCATGAGAAGCTGATTGGTGAGACCGTCAAATTACTATTGTTATATACCAATCAGCAGAAAAAAAATTTTCAAAGATCTCCTCAGCTTAATTTATGTTTGAGACGTTCATCGCAAAGAGAGGCCAAATAAACAAGATGGGAAGGACATGAGTATGCGCTATTTTTGTCAAGCAATTTTTACAATACTTATATTCCGAACTGTATTTTTGGCTACTTGACTGACAACAGTCATGAATTGTTGCACATTGAAAGTTGGTGTTACGAAAGCTCCGAAATGATCCATGGCAATAAGCGATTAAATAATTACTTTAAATTTTGACAATATCCATTCATTAATCATATACATCAAAATCCTATACCACAGCCCTGCATTACATTTTAAATATATCCATCACCTGTATCCATAAACACATATAACACACTGACTTACATTTTTAATATATCCATTGATTGTATCCATCAAAATTTTGTTTTCGGCACCGATCAGCCGTATCTTGGTCTTTAGGGACCTTTTGATGGCCTGTCTGGAGATCAGCACTGGAGACTTTGGCATGATTGCTGGTGTCAGGGGAGTTCCGGCTCAGTAAACATAGAACGATCCTTGGGCCGCCCAGTGCTAACTAGAGATATTTTAATATTACGTGCTTCTTATATGTTTTGTCATCGTGCCATTTAATTTTATTTCTGTTCCTGCCCTTTTTAACTAACAACGGGGCTAAATTTTGTTCCGTGGAGTGGCTAAATCCATGTTTTGTATGGATGAAATAACTCCATGTTCAATTTTTGAGTATTTCTTTCATAATTTTCAAGGGAAAAAAATGTTTTATGTATACCTTCGGCTTCGGACTATAACACACTGTTTCATGAACTGAATGGTCAATGGCGCCAAACGAAAACTAGATAATTTATTCTAGAACTAGTAAAACGCCATGCCACCCAATAAAATAAAACCTGGTATGTGCACAGCTACCACACGCAGGGCGCCTACTAAATCAGCTCAAAGTAAAAAAAATTTGCTCATCTACCATTTCCTATTTATGAATTAGTGTACACTTCTCTAAACATTGCCTTCCATAACTAATGCGTTATCCATCAGTGGTGCTGCATTGTGTAGTGAATTTTCAAACAATATTTGGATATGCGGAAATTTGCGTTACATTTTGAGTCGGTCTGGACCAGTGTGGTGAAGAAATCTCGAATTGTTTTCAAGTTCTATAAGAATTTGAAAGTATTATTGTTCTATCAACAACCCATTTTTAACCTATATTAGTGATACAATTACATTCAAGAACAGTTTATTGATTTGATAAGTGATGGGGTGCAAAATGTGTTTTTAGTAAAAATTGGTTGTAGTGATTTTTGGATTGAAATGGCGCAGTCATATCCCCATGTTGCAGAGATGGCTCTAAGATTGTTGATTCCATTTGTAACCAACTATGAGTGTAAGACTGGGTTGTTGTTTTTTCAAACTACTTGATATCAAAACAAATCCTCGAAACGGATTAGATGCAAAACAATAACATGAGAGTTACACTGACCAAAACGAAGCGAAACCTAGAAGAACTGGTTAGAGCAAATCAGATGCACCAATCCTATGAAATGTACATTTGATGAATTAAGTTTTGCCATTTTCTGAATAAACAATTGTTTATCAAAAATTTTTTGGTAACAGTAGCCTATATTTAAGCGTAGTTAATTGTAAAGGGTCCCGGAAATAGAAAAAACGGTAAAGAGACCGTCACGCAAGGAATCCTACAAATGTTTGAGAACCACAGACGTAGACGAAACGACTTTAAATTGTTAATTTGAGACCGTTTAATCAGAAGATTCGTGAGCTGCATTTCCTTTGTAATTTTGTCGTACAACTTTTAAAAATATCTACAACGGGGGCCGTGGCCTTCGTCTGACTGGAAAAGGGGGCCGTTGCCTTCGTCTAACTGGAAAAGGGGGCCTTGGCGTTCATCTGACTGGTAAGGAGGTCCACGGAACTTCAAAGACCCAGCTCTACCTTAAGATGTCAGCTCACAGTTAACAAGAGTCTTATCACCGTAGAATAAAGAGACTATGTGAGTACGGAACAGGCAGCTAACTCTTAACAAGAGTCTTATCACCGTAGATTACAGAGAGTACGTGAGTACGAGGCAGACATGTGGAATCCCGTGAAACTTTGAACGATGAAAAGATTTGCTTAACAGTGTTATTTTTATGACCTTATTAACAAGGCTGGAACTGGAAATGGTATTGACACACAGGTGGGAGACCAATTGTAATAGAAAGGAATGACGCCCACTCCTCTGTTGTCGGTGTAACAACTGATCTTTATTCTACATCATACAAACATTTTATTCATGATCACTCATTCCCCTTTTCCACGCATTTAAGTTTAAAACAATCGTGAATAAAAACGACTCACCACGTCCAGCCACACCACATAACAACAACACAGGCCAATCCGGTCACACAGTTCACTCACTACTCACAATCGTTAGTCATCATACATCCTTTCACACAACACACTTTTAAAGGATGCAGTGAGGCACGAGCTGGTCCAAATAAAACTAAAAATTGAAAGTCTTTTTGCCCCATTGAAATAATGGGCCACCCATAAATAGCCTAACACTATTCCCCCCTCCCCCCCTGCCGCCTATCTTGCCCCACGGTCACAAAATTTTCATCCTCTTAATCGTTACACATCTCCCCCCCCCCACACACACACACAACATTCTGTATGCGTGACGTCATGAGAGGCTATACGTTTGGAAGTCAAGAATTGGGAAAACGGTAGTTTAGTTGCAAGGCATTTCAAACAAGCATCATATGTGACAATCCGCCTGACATGCCACCGACCGGTGTGGATGGAGCGACAGCGGGTGCTAGAGGCAGTAAAGGGTTAAAACAGCGGTCGGGAACCTATGGCTCGCGAGCCAGATGTGGCTCTATTGATGGCTGCATCTAGCTCGCAGACAAATGTTCGATTATATAAAAAAAAATGTTTCTTTAGACTCCTTTGATTAGCAACAGCATAACAATGTTATTAAAAAGAATTCAGAGACATAATTATTCCATTTTTAGTGTTGAAATTACACAAAATGCTCAAATTTACTTGAATTTTTAGTTCTAAACATAATGTATGGCTCTCACAGAATTACTTTTTGAAAATATGTGGTGTCCATGGCTCCCGACCCCTGGGTTAAAATAACCAAATTATTATTAGAAATGTTATCCTTTTTTTTTATTTGTAAACTAAATTGTTATGTTTAGACACCCGGGAATCGACGCGCAGCTAAACAGATAACCCAGTGGTTGTCTAATTGACTGTGGCGTAGGAAGGGGGGTTCCAGGGGGCAGTCAGCCCAGGGTGGCACTTACTTTTTTTTCTTTGTATGGAGGGGCGGCATTTAAACCCAACTGGAGAGTTGTTTTGTTGGGTTTTTTTTTCAAGAGGGTGGCAAATTATTGACCCGCCCCGGGTGACACTAAACCATAGTTACGCCACTGCTTATTGAGGTTCATGAAAAGCTCGCCAAACAAAGGTTGTTCCCTTAAAGTTTAAATAACCATTGAGAATATTGGTTTTAAAAATATTTAATACAGTTTTAACTAATAAAGAAATATATTTCTTATTGGTTCAACCTCTATTGTCATGAAATGTTTTGAGAAAATAATTCTGAAAGAAATTTTGAATGAAGTACACCAAAAACTGGACCCCCACCAATTTGCTTTTAAGCCTGCCAGAAGTACGGAGGACGCAATCTTAGTATTGTTGGAGAGACTTTACCATCACCTAAGACAGTCCTAAAACATATGCCAGAGTGCTTTTCTTAGACTTCTCATCAGCATTTAACACTATCCAACCACACCTTATGATAAAGAAACTTTCCTCGTTGGGTGTCAATTTAAATATTCAGGCTTGGATACTGAACTTTTTAACAAATCGACCACAATATGTCAAAGTAAATTAACAATTTTCTCTAACCAGAGAAATTAGCACCGAGGCATCGGAAGGCTGCGTTCTCTCCCCTGTACTGTAAACAATATATACCAATGATATTCAAAGCTCAAGCGACACCGTTCCAATCTTGAAATTTGCTAATGATACCATCGCCGTTGGCTTAATATCTGAAGGAGAAGACCTATACCGCAACTTAGTTACGAGCTTTATCAATTGGTGCGATGAAAATTTTCACCAGCTGAATGTCTCAAAAACAAAGGAAATGGTTGTTGATTTCAGGAGGGGGAAACACCAAATTACAGATCTCAACATAAAAAATCAAAATGTGGAGAAAGTGGAGGCGTACAAGTACTTAGGTGTCACCATTAATAATAAGCTAACATGGCATAAGCACGGCCAAATGCTGTATAAGAAATTCAACCAAAGACTG